GGGGATGGGCTTCCGAGCCAATCTTGGCTGCTGTCGTTGTGGCATGGAGGCGAACTCGGCTGTTTCATCATCATTGCTGTGCTCACAATTACACCCAGGCAGGGATCTCTGTCTGCCTCCCTCCCCTGCTATCCTCATATACTTATCATTTTCTCCTTTCCTCCTCCTGCCCTCGCCTCGCTTTTACTTTCCTCCTCTCTTTCTATCAGGCTTACGCTGCCTGATTCCTCCCCTGGGTTGCAGCACCGACGCAGGTTGGCGTCATAGTGGTCTAATTTTACTGCTGTTGATGCTGATGTTAAAAGAAGCAATAGGCACCTGCTATTTCTGCTGCTACCCCATCTCCCTGGGGCCAGCAAAGAGGTATTAATAGACAGAGTTATTAGGCGCTGCATGGTCGCACATAGAGGCTCTGCTTAAGTGCAAAGGAAAACAGATAGGTACTCAGAATTCAGCTGTTACACAACACCACAGTGCTAACAAGAGGCTTGGTGAAAGCACTGTTTCAGGCTTCTGCAAGAAAGTAGCATTGTACTTCTGCAACTTGAGTTCCCTAAACTATGTCAAATATTTTATTCTCTTTATATGATTGATGTTGCAGTTTGGAGGAGCAAGCCTGCCTCCATACAGGAAGCGCACTAACAGCTGCTGATATCCTGGCTGTGTTGCACAAAACGGGTGTGCCTACAATGGAAGGGCATAAACGTCAGAGTAAGTTAGTTATTGTGTGACAGTAGTCTTCCACACTGCATGTCCCTCACGCGCACACACACCACGCATTTCCTGTGTAAAGCCATTAAGCAATCTGCCTTCCGATAATTCTCGACATGGTGAAATATTGATAAAAGGTTAAGTGAGCAAGTGAGGAGGAAGACTGACAAGTAGAAGGGAGGGGAAGGAAAGGTTTGATGACAACGTGTGTAACAATAACATGAAATCAATAGATCACCGGATATGATAGTGATGAAACTTCATCAGGAAGCTTGATTAAACTCAGCAGCAAAACATCACAAAACAGTCATGTTGATAACTCGCCTAGTTTCAATTTAAACGAAATTCATCACTGACTATTGTGTTAGTAATGAATTTACCGTCTTTAAATTAGCATTCTGAAAAACAGTTTTCTGTTTGGGAAAAACTGAATCAGTGGATACGGAGCTACACACACATTTAACCCCCAGCTGACTTTACATGCACCTGGACCAGGTGTAAGATGAAATAAGGCGTCCAAATGTTCCAAATTTAACAAAAACTATATGGAAAAAGGAAAAATTGAAGGGACTGTTCACCCCAAAATCAAAAATACATATTTTTTCCTTTTACCTATAACACTATTTATCAGTCTAGATAGTTTTGGCGTTAGTTGTCGTGTGCTGGACATATCAGCCGTAGAGATGTCTGCCTTCTCTACAGTATAATGGAACTAGATGGCAATCGGCTTGTGGTGTTTAAAGCGCCAAAAAGATACACCTGAAAAACTCAACAGCAGTGTCTCTTTCCAGAAATCATGACCTGGTTACTCAAGATAATCCACAGACCTTGTTGGAAACAGTTTCATGTAGGAACTATTTTCTTTCTACCGAACTACACCTGGCAACTGTATCACTGCGCAGAGGGAAGTGTGCATCTACTGCTAGCTCACCTAGCACCACTGAACTAGCTAACGTAACAGGGCTGCAGAGGAGGAAGCCATTGATATTTACATCTAAAGCTGTCACCAGCACGAGCCTCTTGTCCATGAGTAGATGAACGCTTCCTTCTGCACAGTGATATGGTTGGTGGGTGTAGTTTGGTAGAAAGAAAATAGCTCCTACATGAAACTGCTCACAACAAGGTCTGTGAATTATCTTGAGTAACCAGGTCATGATTTCTAGAAAGAAACATTGCTGCTGTGAGCTGTTACATGTAGGAACTATTTTCTTATTGTCAGACGCATCATTACGCAGAAGGAAGGGTGCATCTACTAATGAACGAGAGGCTCATGCTTGTGACAGCGCGAGACGTAGACAATAATGCTGTCCTTCTCAGCTGAGCTGTGTCATTAGCTAGCTCAGTGGTGCTAGGTGAGCTATCAGTAGACGCATGCTTCCTTTTGTGCAGTGATATGATTGGCAGGTGTAGTATGGTAGAAAGAAAATAGTTCCTATGCTACACTGCTCACAACAAGTTCTGTGGATTACCTTGAGTAATCAGGTCATAATTTCTGGACAGAGACATAAATGTTGAGTTTTTCAAAAGTACTTTTTGGCGTTTTGAGCACCACAACCTGAGTGCCATGTAGTTCCATTATATTCAAGAGAAGGCAGACATCTCTACAGCTGATATCTCCAACACTCTACACTCACACCAAAACAATCTAGATCAGGGATGTCAACCCATTGCACAATAACCTCTAAGTGCCAGCAGCTTTAATATTTCCCCTTTTTTTGTGTAAAGAATTACATTACATTCTGTAGACGTTCATCCTTTTACAAAACAGATGAACAACCCGAGATGTCTTAAGAAATATAAGTGCAATTTCAACAGGATGTCTCAGCTTTTCCACATTCAGTCAGTCTACTTCTTACTGTCATTAGTCTACATGTGCATTTACCTTGACATTTCCTGATACAGATTCTTTTGAAGTGATGCTGCCCATTGACGATAGTTTTCCCAATTTTCAGTATCTTTTAACATGATCACAGTAAGTCATTGTTATATCAGAGGACTGTATTTTGCCTCTGCAGCAGATTTTTACATGAAGTCTGCAACACGTTGTTTAACTTGCTCCTGAAACCTGGCACATTTTAAGGCCCTGACACACCTAGCCGACGGTTGGCCGTTGGTCAAAGTCGGGCCGTCGGTGAGCGTCTGTCGCCCTAGTTTTTGCGGTGTGTCCCACACCGTCGGCACTTTGGCATCGGCGGCTTTTCGGCTGATTGAGCATGTTGAATCGCCGGCGGAGCATGTCGGTGAGAGAGATCACTCTGATTGGCTGTTCAGGTTTTATTTTCTCGCTCCTGTAGTGAGTGAATCTGCCTGTAGTGAAACCGGGGCTAACCGGTGCTTCCTCCTCAGGCTCCACTGCACTCAGCTGCCTGACAGATCTGCTGCTTCTTCCCGCTTTAACCTGAATAACAAACCGGCGCTAGTTGTGAGGCTAGCAGAGCGTTATCCGCAGCATGACCGGAGGGAAGCAGCCAGTTAGCCTCCGCTAGCTTGTCAGCTAGCCCTGGGTCTCTGTTTGGATCCAACCGGAGCACCGAGCCCTGGTTTGTTATTCAGGTTAAAGTGGGAAGAAGCAGCAGGTTTGTTGGGCAGCTGAGTGAAGTGGAGCCTGCAGAGGAAACACCGGGACCTTCTGGATGTAATAGTCTGTGGAGGTGCTGCGCTCGGCTGCACAGATAGGAAACCCCTTGGCTGACAGGATGTACCACTCTCTCACTCCGCTACTTTATCTCATGCATTCCTTGGACTTCCGGTTTCCCTTTTTGCGTTATTTCCCCTCACGCAGGTGCAGAACCTATGTGCTACTTGGCAGTCAGATGTAGTCTTTGTAGTGTGTTCAAATGCAACTGACACAGGGCGACGTGAGGCGACGTAGATGACGCAACAGTTGGCTTTCGTCGTAGTTCTTTGATGTCCGTTTGGTGTGTCGGCACCTTTAGTATAATCATCTAGTGGGCCAGATTGGACTCTCTGGCGGGCCAGTTCTGGCCCATGGGCTGTATGTTTGACACCACTGATGTAGAATGAGCACCTCAGGTAGGAGGAAAAGTATATATTTTGTTTTTTTGCAGTGAATCCAATTCAATTTTATTGATAAAGCCCAATATCACACATCAAAATCAAGCCTCAGAGGGCTTTACAGCATACGACATCCCTCTGTCCTTTGGACCCTCACAGCCGATAAGGAAAACTCCCCCCAAATAAACTTTTAACGGGGGAAGAAATGTCCCTTAAAGACAGTAAAAAAAAAAAAAAACGTAAAAAGGATCTGGGTAGGTCTAAATGCACATCTTGAGTCAGCTGTTATACAATGTGTCTTTCTATCACTATATTACATTAACACCAATGGGGAAAAGGACAATGTTCTAGACTATCTGTCAATTTCTCAATCACCATCTTCCTAATTAGCTATTTGCTTGTGTCCTATTCATTATGCATGACACATTAGTATTCATTTTGGCCCAGCTGTGCTTCCAGAGGAGGTGTTTTACTTTTGGGAATGAGGAGTTAGATCAGTCTGAATGAAAACGCTTTGCAGACAGCTTCGTGTCCAGCTGTCTGCACGACCCACAGAAGTCAAACTGCTGCCTGTGTTCTCATGAATTATTTCTGAGGACTCTTGTCTTGCATTATGCTGTAACTCACATGTGCGTCTTTCACAGTGGGAGGGGATATTTTTTGCGACCTTCCGAGGGAACAGAACACATTAAACCGACGCAGACGGTGGTTAAGGCGCTGCTTTCGGATCCTCTTGCGATTGTCCTGTATAACCGTATGTGTGCAGCGGTTGTCTTGCAACGACCCAAAACATAGCCTATTGTTTCGCTTAGGGAAGCGATGCATCACGTTCTTTCCTCTCTCTCCTATATTCCAAATACTCAAATCTGATTATCTGTGTGGAGAAAAACCCCGAGACAAGTAACTTCGATCTATGTGTTTTAGCGGAAAAAGCCCGTCTGCATTCTGCTGGCAAACAGCAGCAGCAGCGTCTTCGCAGCATTCTATATTTGGGCACGGAAGTAGGGTACGACGTCATCGCGCTATGCTTGCAGATTTAAAAAAATGGAAAGAACGCACTGACGTAGGAGCCCTGACGTATAGTTAACCTTGGCAACAGACGGAACAATAAATAGAGCCAGTGGAGGTGCAGGAAAAATACTGCTATCCCATATGGAGGCTAATTTTAGACATTATTTTAATTGTCTGTTGCATAAAAATGGAGCTGCTGTCACATCTCAGCACAGAGAACGTGTTCATGAGTGCATGTAATGAGAAAAGTGCAAGACAGATAATTGAATTTAAATATCACTATCTTTTATTTACATATTTTACAAACAACATTCATCTTTTTTTACTCTCTGTGTAAAAAAATAAATTTCATAAATTAAAACCACGTATGTTTTCACAGAAAACTTCATACTAAGATAGACCACTCAGACCATCATGGTTAAGACAAAGCACGTCAGTTTTTAAGTTTTTTTTTTTTTTTTTCCACAAACGTTTCACAATTACTCTCACATTCCATCAACCAGAAAACAAACTGAATCAATAATAACTATTGCTCTGAACACACATCAACACTACAACAAAGTTTTTTGTTATCTAGCACCATAAAATCATATATGAACTCATAATACGACTAGGTGGTATTAGTTGAAACATGCTTTTTGTAACCTGCTACATCGGTGTTATAGGCAAGTATAAGATAAAGGCGAATAAAATCATAAATAATTTGCTTCCTGGTTTAAGTCCATTCCATAGCCCTGTGATCTGCACATCTATCTCATACACCAAGAAAATGTGCTTGATAGGAAGTATTATTGTTTTTGTGGAAGAGTCTTTAAAGGGCCAGCAGGGTAGGGGAGCTGAGGGAGTCGGAGGACTGGTCGTTGCTGTTGCTTCCTCTCCTGTGGGCGATGCCACAGGTGGGGAAGGTCTCAGCCTCTGGGAAGGTAAACACAAACGAAGACGTGTAGGTGGTGCAGGCTGGTGTGCAGGTCACCACGGGCGTGCACAGGGGCTCAAAGTCACCGTTATTGGCTGTGGCATGAAGGGGCTCCCAGTCCTGAGTTGTGTACAGGGAGTTGGACAGGTCGACCTCTGGGACTGACCGCGCTGACTCCATCTCCGTCTTTGCCAGCAGGTCCAGAGACTCCTCCAGGACAGAGGACTCCAGGTCTGCCATCTTGACGGCGCTGCTGGAGATGGTGGCGGTGGAGAGGACGGAGCTTGTAGTGGAGAAGAGGGAATTGGAGGTTGAGGTGTAGGTTGGCTGGCTGGAAGCGATAGCGGTTGCCTTAGGGATGGTGGTCTCTGACTGGGAGGACACGGCGGTGGACAGGCAGGGGTGGGCGGGAGAAAGGGAGACCACAGAGAAGTCACTGTCCAGCTCTGAGGGGATTTTGCAGATGGGCTGATGGGCAGCCAGAATGAACTCAAGCCTTTCCTTCTCCTTCAACAGATTAGCAATATCATTCTGCAGATTGGACTTCTCATCCTCCAGCTGATCAGTTTCCTGCACGGGGGAGAGAAAAATAGGAAGTGGCATGAGCTTAGCTGTTGGATAACACTTCTAGTAGCTGTGGCGAGGAATGCATTTTGATGACTGATGGTAAATCTGTGGCATACTTACAGCTTGCAGACTGTCTGTAAGCTCTCTCCTCCTGTTGCGGCATTTGGCTGCTGCCTGCTTGTTCCTCTCTCTGCGAACTCTCTTCTTCTCTTCCTCCTCAGGTGAACACTGCACATAAGACAAGAAAAAGTTAACTCCATGATAACTCACACTCTGTAACACTGAAGTCACTATTTATTATGTAACACTTGAAGTACATGGTGAGATAATTACCTGTTCTGCTCTGCCCCTCTTGGCAGAGTTATGAGCCTTGGATGCAGACCTCATGCCTGGTCTGGTGTATGCTGGGCTGGGGCTGTAGGGGTGAGGTCTGTGAGAGGGGGCCACTGAGGAGATCAAAGGCTGGACCATCCACTGCAGATCCGGGCTTGTTGAAATGGCTGTGACAGTGGGGATGAAGGAGGCACTTGATGCTGTCAGGTCAGTGAAATCCTGTGGGCAATGAAGGAAGAGGATCATAAGTACATTTTGGTATACTTTGAGGAAGGGGGGGATGCAGCATTGCAGGATGAGCTATAAAAAGCCGGGTGGTTTAAAAATATCCACATGATGTCAGATGTGACGTTACAGACTCTCTATGGGGTTTCCAGGTGGATGAATGAAGCGCGCCTTGCACTGTGTGCAGCGCAGGTCAATAGGCTATTTCAAGCACAACTTAACACTGACAATTAATATTAATCAGTCAGCTTCTAGTTATGATTTAAACTTTATGAGAATAGTGAAAGCTAGACTGAGCTTTATTTCTCCAAGTTGCATGCACTTAAACACATGTAAAGATCTTATACATTGTAATAAAAGTTGAATAATATGTAACTGGACATACCTGAGACTGGGGGGATCCCATGCTGGAGTAAGATCCGGCTGGTGACGGAAAGTATCCCACATTGTCCCCGGACGGGGAAGCGGTGCTGCAGCGGGAGGAATCGCACTCCGTGTTGAAAGAGGTAAACATCATCGTTCCCCAAAAAACCAAGCAGGAAGATCCAAACAAATGTAAACTTGAGATGAGGAAATCCTTCTGTAAGGTTTGGGAAAGACTCTTTAAATCGCCGCTCTCGTTATATTCTCTCTTGTCGGTGCTCTGCTACTGAAAGTTTGAATACCAACTCTGAGAGATCGGGCCTCTTATATAGCCTGAGAAGGACCGGCCGAATGACGTCGGCAAAGGGGGAGCGCTCTTCACCCGACACCGCGAGGAAAAAAACACCAAAACACTCACATAACAACGCGGCGATAAAACCAACCATCACTTATACACTCTTTAGATACACTTAAATACACATATACAACCCTTACATGTGGTGTTTGAACACAAAAAGTCACATTTAATAATGTTTTATAAACTCACCCTCGAGAAATGGAATATTCCAGGAACGGGATCCCCGATACGTAATTTTCCAAATATGGTGGGTTCATCCTGTAAAGGGGCGCGGCCTTATGGGAAACACCATCTGAGATTGGCTTACAGCGACATGACGTTATGTAAGACAACAAACACAGCGGCTGTTGTGAAAACTGAAGAACTGGGATAATGGTCATCTAAAGTACAGCCTACACAGCAGAGGACAGCAAAGATAAATATGAACACCGGGATTTGTCTGTTCTGATCTGAGAATATCAAACAGACGCAATGAAACACGCAGTGCTGAGGTGTTTTAACACTGAATAACTCATCAAAATGTTATTATCTGTATCAAGACTATGACTATACTTCACCTCTCTTACTAAGGCAGCCTTTAATGGATTTTTATGGAGGCATAACTTTATAGAAAACCATTTCATCAAGCTGTGGGTTGAGAAACTTGCAGGGTTCAATCAAGGTACTGTGCTATTGTGTCTCATACAGTATGAGCAGTGAAACAAAGGGTGGCTGCTGACACATTCTCTGTCCTCCACAAGTCTGTTTAACACTGATCCATTTTAATAAAGCACAACTATCAGGCAGAGCTCCACCAACTCAATACCTCCTCCGACTCCAACTGCTCTCACCATGACCACTTTGCAACTCCCCGGCATCATTCCCATTCCCTGGACATCACAGCTGAGCACATCGACCAGGCGGACACGTCCAGACTCCTACTGTTCCCTAACATAGACCACATCTTCCTGTCTGAACAGCAGTTTGCCAGCAGTGCCAGCAAATAGTACCACTCAGCATCAACGTGAGGAAGGTGAAGGCAAATGTAACAGGCTGTAGTACATAGTCAAAGCCCTTTAACTGACGCATAGCTCTACTTGGAGTTTCTACCAGCTCCTGTAACATCATTCCCCCTGTTTAAATAGGTCAGGAATCCCTGAATGCAAATGTGAAAGAGCAGATTTGAATCTTTGAAAACTTTTAAAACACACTTTCATTACACTGAAAACACTACACTGCAAACATTGCAACAGAGAAGCAATTATTACAGAAGTTTAACTCATATTTTCAGTTTCAAACTATAGCTTGTTGACCCTACTTTCACCTCTCATATCTTTTTTAATGTCTTGATATGTGACATTAATGAAACCCCAAAGGTGGTGGGACTTTTTAGGCTATAATGTGCAAGAAATTTTAAAAAGAAATATGCATGTGAACATAATGAGACTCTCTTTCTAGCGTCACCTGAGTCTCAAAGAAATGGGTTCATTGGAATGGGATCAAAGCAGCGTGCGTAGGCTGTTTGAAATCCAAACACCATAAACACATGTCAGAGCAGAGGTGATTACATGTGTATTCTGCCCACAGGCAGTGCTTGTACCTTTCTGTGCACAATCCAAGCGAGGGTGTGTTTCAGTTGCAGAGCGAGCTGATAACCGGTTTGTTTTGTGTACTTTTCCACCACTGCGGTGTAGTTTTCTCAGGGATGTCCAGGCTCAGTCGTGAAGGTCTTCCCCTGACAGAGGGAATCCTCATGATTAGCATAACAAGCTGCATGAATCATGAAATGCAGGTCTGGCACTAGGTCAATATTTAGACTATATAGTGCTCTTAACATTAAGTGTTTAACTTAATTAGTATATTGCTTTACAATGTATTTTAATTCCCATAAAGTGCTGATAATTGGTCCTTTAAAGAGAAAAGGGCCTTTACCACACAAATCTAACATCACAGGTCAGATTTAGTGTGTCAGCATCTTTTTGCTGGTGGTTTTTGATGATTTAGCATTCATTAAAAAGGAGTTATAAATGGGTTAATGATGTAAATTCTAGATATAATAGTTATGTGAATTTACACAACAGTTTGGTGACGTTTTCCTGATTTTCTTTGCATTTAAAGGGTTCATTAGGGATGCTTCTTTTTATTAAACAGCCCCCTAAACAGTGCACAAGCTACAGGCAGGGCTGTAATAAAAAATACAGGTGTTACACACCTTAACATGACATTAGTAAAGATACAAAGTGCTGATAATATATAATTTACTTGTATAATATTGTTATTGTGTCAAAGTGCATCCATGTAGGTTAAAGGCGCTGTGTTTTGTTCAACATTCCTGGTCGCCATAGCAACACTCCACCCCTTCGCGTCAGTGACGTCCTCGCTTTGCATAGCAACAGGGATCGTCTGTATTGTGGAGACGGATCACTCAACAAAGAAAAACAAAAACCGGCCCTTGCGGCGTTGCGTGCGAAGACAACCAGCACATGACGTCATGACGCCACCAGTTCCGGGAAACCGTGTCGGAGTGAGAGCTCTGTCTGTGTCTGTGTCTCAGACAGCAGCTCAGTGTGTCCGCGGTGTCTGTGGAGCAGCGGAATGAAACAGGACACCAAACAACCCGTTTACCTTGTGGATTGTTTGAATAGGCCCTTTTTTTGTTTGACTGGTTGGCAGGAACAGCAGCTTCCAAAGCAGCAGTGCTGTCCTGGGATTATTTGTTTGTCTATCACAATGTTCGAGTTCTTTAGGGGTAGATCTTGTTCTAGAAATAAAAGCTGGGTTAATAATTAGCACGTAGGCAACCTGATAAACAAAACTGGTGACCATAATAATGACAATAATTTGGAAAAACAACAATAATTAGCTTGCAGCAGCACAGATGAGGGTTAATGGATGAAATCAAGGGTGTAGGTTGTGTTTCAACATCAGGGGGACACATATGAAACTAAAATGGGGGTCCTCCACCAGAAAAATATGAGCATCAAACAATGTCTTGCATTTCGGTGAATAATTACGCACGAATTAGTTCATTTTCTGCATCAATTTAATGTGTAAATGTCTTTAATTTTGTCAAAATAAAAGTCTTTTGCTACTTATGTTTTTATTATAAGGGAAACAAACCCACATTTTCTAAATATTGAGGGGGATGTAGACCCTTTGTCCCCCCAGATATCTACACCTATGGATGAGACGACATTTTGAAATCAAATGTAAATCACTGAGTTACACGCACACTCTAAATTCCCATACTCTATGCTTAGCTATTTCTTTTATTTTTAGCCTGCATCTTTAAATTTTAATTCGATCTCAAGTGTCAATACATAGCATCATCGGTGCTATTCACGAGATCACAGTTAAATATCTATCGCACTAATTTACATGAACTTTGAACGCTGATGTCACCGCGTCTAAAAATAAACTCCGCCGCTCTCTGCGCATTCACGCTCAAGTTGCTCTGAAGAAAACAAGTCTTTGAGCTGTAGTCAGGGGTGTCTGCGGATATGTCCGACCTTTGAACCCCTCCTAGCTCTCGAGCCGCCGGTTCCTGAATGGGCTCGGGCGACCACCTAATGATGTGCTGGTAAATAATGCCAGAGGGGGCCGTGACTGCCGGGAAGCAGCCGGGAGCGCAGCCCCTCTGAGCGGGGAGAGGCCCCCCCTCTCCATTCACCAAACTATCCCTTTCACTCCAGTGGGTATGTGAGGTCATCTGAAACCTAAATATAGCAACTCCAGCCTATATAATCCCTTTTGTTATGGGGGCTGGATTAGGGTGTGCGGGAATAACGTTTACATAATTGGGAATAATAAATTGCATCATTGGTGTATGAGAGAATAACAGAGTGATGAGATCATGAGGAAAAAAAGTCAGGCAACACTTTTAGGAAAGAGAAGGTCAAATAGGTTTTATTCTCTGCAGTAACACATCAGTGTGATGTTGGTGTGATGTACAAATGCATTTACATGTCCACATGTGCGTAAAGACGCAGCGTATTCGTGTAGACGCGGGTCAAGTGCAGAGGTTTGCCCTCGTCTTGTACTAAAAGTAGCCGAATGACGCCGTTCTCAGGTAGCCTACAATGCATGACGATCCTTTTAGCGCATGTTTCACTTTCTTTTGTGACCGTGAGTGAGTGGGCCACACACAGTCACACGTCCGTCCGTCTGCGCGCTCCCCGTGCGCCACAGCGCGCCCCCTGCTCGCCGGAAGCGCCATATATGGCTCGGTCGGTCCATTCGGCGATTGGCTGCTTTACTACAGCGACAATTCTGTTGCTGGAGCTCTATTCATATGCAGAGACAGGTGAAAAAGGCAGTGTGATATATGGATGACACTTCATTTAGCAGCTCATAAATAATGAGCCGGTGCGCTGGAAGCTGGGTGCATTCATTAAATCACGCGGGGGTTTTAACAATATTGGTCCGAATGATAAGTTGGGGCTGATGTTTTATTGCATTGGCTTTTATAGAGCAGGGTTCTGATCCGGGCGGCTCACTGTTTTAATCTGTTTATTAATATGTGGCATTAACATCACCCCCCTTCTTATGTCTGTCTCCATTAATGCGCCAACATGTCTCGTGAACATATGTGGACGTATAGAGAACATAGCCTAATGTATATGATGCAGATGCTGCATACATGATATGACGTAGTTCATTCATGGCAATGGGCACCTCACATAGGCGGGGGTGTCACTTTATATATGCTCGCTATTCTAATCATAATTGACTAAATAAAATGAGTAAAAATAAAAAAGGCTGCTCATATTGGTTTTCACACGTTCCACATATTTAATTGTTAAATTGGAAAACATCTGCTCGTGTTTTTTCCTCCCTTACCTCTCCCTCTGTGCGATGGTTCGGTCTCACCACACAGATTTCATTCATAAAATTCCAGCTCACTATAAAAGGCGGGCCTCTCCACTATCTGCACAGTTACCATTTATGAACGCGGCAAATGGAATATAAGTAGGGGCTTGTTTAGGCGTCAGTCTTAGATTAAGATAGGCTACTCTATCTTTTCTTATGCAGTGATTTTTTTTTAGTCGACAACATGCATCCAGACTCCAGCACTGAGTTCGACTCATCGTCCAGCTGTAGCACAGCATCGCCTGGCGGGGACACCCCTGGGTGCAGCCAGCATCCTCCTGACTCGCTTTCATCATCAGTGGACAGCGCCAAGGTACAAGCGGATCTGATCATCCACACACAAAATATAATAACCCTCAAAAATGTGTCTGTCTTGTTGCAGGATCATTCATGCATATGGCTTATATAGGTCGCACGAGGCGACTCTGGGTACATCATGTTCATACATATCCAAAAACATTTCATAGACAGCATGTTCTGTAAGAGGAACACTGTCCCGTGCTGAAGATAATTCTGCACAAACACATAGTCTGATAATGTATCTGCAGAAAATCAAGACAACGCAAGAATGCTCTTTCTGGGAAATTGTTTGTAATGTACTTTACATAGTCGTGTCTTGGTCGTGACCTTTCATTTCAGAGTGATGATGATGATGCAAATGACTGACGAGGACGTGATGATAAAGCATCTGATTGTGATAGATCCGTAGGCTGTATTGATTTTGCTTTTTTGTTCCTCAGCCAAATGATTGATGTACCATTTAAGCACATCTAAAGGTCAGACACTAACGTGCTCCCTCACTCATCAGATAAGCCAAATTACGTTTTTGACTGCATGCATATGCATGTCTGTGTGATGTGGGTTTCTCCAGGATACTGAGACCGGTGCAGCAGACTCCTTTGTTCCGACTGTGACTGCAATCTCAACCTCGCCAGATCTAAGGTGGATGGTGCAGCCGACAGTCATCACATCTGTCTCTCCGTCTGCCGGCCGTGCAAAGACCAGAACTCACGGCTCGAGCCAGTCGTCTTCCCCCCCGGCAGGTGCAACCAAGGCAAAGCCCTCCAACAGGAAGGGGCTGAAAGACAAGGTATGCAAGGAAACAAGGTGGGGAGGGGGGCAAGGAAATGTCTCATATATAACCTGACAGGTAGCCGATCAATCAACTAATCAATCGATCAATGAGTACATATTGTTCCTTAATAACACCCCCATATCCCTCTCCACGACCCATTGCCACTGATAGAGGTTAATGCAAAACATGTAGTTATCGCGATATTTTCAGCAGGACGCAAAAGAGGATGCACTTGTTTTTACTGTTAAGAGAAAATTAACGTAGCGAGCAGAGCAAATAAATGGCTGCAGGCAACAGCACATCAGGTGATTGGATCATGTCTAATTGGTGCAGCGAGTAATTACTTGAGGAGTAACGAGCGCATCACTGTTTATGAATGGGACGGGAAATTGCAACGCAAGCGCGCGTTCACGTGGTCGACCAGACCGTGCCAGTGGTGCAGCATTTTAACGCCTGAACTGAAAGAGAGTCTGCACCGACCAGATCAGTATTCCCAGCATACACTGCAATGGAGATTTTTTTCTTCTCCTTCTCCTGTTTTTTGGCATGTGAAATGGTGCCGAGGAGCCAACTGCTGATATGGCGAAACTCAGCAGGATGCGCATTTAAATTGGCAATTTCTGATTGATTTTTTTTGCAGCCTTCCAAAGAGGAGGAGGAGAGGAGGAGGATCAGGAGGGAGAGGAACAAGATTGCTGCAGCGAAGTGTCGCAACAGACGGAGGGAGCTGATAGACACTCTGCAAGCTGTAAGTATGCTGTTATATGAAATCCTGTAGAGAACATCCACAC